GGGCCTGTGTGAAACCCGCCACTCCAAAAGCCTGCAGTGTCTTGTGTCCGGACCTCTAGGCCCTGTCCGGTGGGGGGTGAAACGACACCGAAAAATCACCCCGTTATTTTTTAAGGGGCGGCCAGGACCCGAAAAACACCCTGGGCTGCCCCCTTTCTTTTTTTTTCGATTTTGCCGTGGGGGCCTCCGTCCAGACATCATGGACCGGACACCGGACCCGGACATGTGTTCCGGACTGTCTGGAACCCGGTCCGGATGGCCGGTCGGTTACCATGAAAAAATGTCTCTGCCTAGTAGAAGGGGCGGTAGGAGCATCCCCTGCTACTAAGGCAGCACTGGTTGCTCCTTTCTATTGGTGGGGAGCTGCAGCTGCTGGAAATGGGGTCTGAGCGGGCTGATTGGTTTGAGGTCTGCCTCCTCCGCTCTGTTACCTGGCCCCAACAAAAGTTTTCCAACCTAGCAGACCAGCATCCCTTAAAGCATAGCACTCTTCACTCCCCCCACACCATTTCATACCGACCAAGTTGTGAGCTTTAGGTTAAAAAAAACAGCTCAACGCAACAATCAGCATCCAGTCCAGGATGGTTTTCCACGAAATTCGTGGAAAACCATCCTGGACTGGATGCTGATTGTTGCGTTGAGCTGGTTTCTTGAACCTAAAGCTCACAACTTGGCACATGTCCGTAAACGACCTAACATGTCTCAGTTCCCCCCGCCCCCTTTTTTTGGATCCAATGCCCAATTTCAGAATTGCAGGAGGACAAGACATGGTAGCTCAGTTGGTTGGAGTACTGGCATTGCAAGGGAGAGGTTGTGGATTCGCTTCTGATTGTCCCTTAGGCTCTCCTCTCTGCGCATGCTCAGGTTGGTGTTTGATTGATACCCCACACACTTGTCCCCCAGCCTAGGACTATTCAGAGGGATTGCTACCAGGAGGGATACTGTCTCATGAGGCGCCTATGGGGAGGGGAGTCTAGAGGGGTCGCCAGGGGAGGGAGCACCCTCTTACACAGGCATCATTGCTGAGGGTGGTGAGAGTGATTTATGGGAGGGAGGCTCAGGGAGCGCAGATAGGGGGGTGACCTATTCTCAATCACGGGAGATGGGTTGGTCTTGCACGGTCTACAGACCCTGCTGCGCAGGTGGCAGGCAAGTCCTACAGGATTCAAGAGCATACAGGCCTGTCGACTTGTACGATTGGAGTACAATCAGCATATGCAGATTGACATAATAATCAGGACCTACAGGATATTTAGAGAATTGTTAGGGGAGGAGTGGTATCTCATGGTTACTTGTAGGGGGCAGGTTGTCTCAAGGAGTAGAAAAGGGGGGGGAGAGGGCGCAGTGCTCTGTGAAGGCATCATCATAGAGGGTCGTGATGCCCTTGGAGGGAGCAAGTTCAGAATAGGGGGTCTTGTGTACCTTGAATCGCAAGAAGGTGGGTAGGGTTTGCGGGGTCTGCACCGGTACCTTGACCAGTGGGTGTGGGCCCCTGCCACATGGGTGGCAGGGCAGTCCTACTTGATCAGGCGGCAGCTTAGACAGGTGATCCCATGTAATAGAACATATATGTTGTACAGTAGGCATATGCAGAGAGTCTCCGAACAGTCAGAAGGGGGTAACCCCAAGCACAGAGACCGTCTTCACCCGAATATAAAGCCCGGTCATTATAGCAGTATTTGGGGCCATTTTCTCTCCAGATGCAGCGATAATGACCGGGTGTTCTATTCTGTTGAAGACGGGAGGTGGCTGGGTTAGTATTTGATGTAGCTCAGTGGTTCTACCTCAGTGAGACCAGCACTCAGAGGACGATCAATTGAGTGGGAGCGGTGTGGGGCTGTGCTAGCGCTAGCGCCCCGAGCCGGCAGACCGGTAGGCCCGGTTCCCCAGCTCGACTAGCGCCTGGGGAGGTAAGCTCCCAGGCTGCTAGGCCTGTGCGGGCCCCTGGCAGTCGCGCGTGGCTCTTCGATTGCCACGTGGCATCTGCTGTAGGGACATGAATGTCCGCGACGTGCGGGCAGGGGTAGCGCCAGCAGTGAAGACCGACGGCGAATTGCAATACGTGGCGCAGCAATTTGGGCGAGGGATGGAGATGGTAGGGGAGCTACAACGTGGAGCATTCGACTACAGGATACGCTCGGTGACAATGAAGATGACGTCTCGCTTACAGAAGATGCTGAAGGTGAGCAAGATGATGATTGCGATGTGCTCCGCTATTATACAAATATCTGCGCTACGTGTGAGATCTGGGAATCTGAAAGAGAGACGACCTGTGTTGTTGCTGTGCGTGAGAGTGATGAGTATGAGGAGGGGGGAGAAGAAAGGTGGGCTAACTTGATGGCACTGTCCTACCACGTTGAGGAGGAGAGTGCAGTTGGCGATGGAGAGAGGGAATATGCCGCTGATGATGAGGGGGGGGGAGAAGAAATGTGGGCTAACTTGATGGCACT